ATTGATCTTTATGCACAAGATGATGCACCACCCTCATAAGCCTATTTACCAAAATTTTTACAAATATCTTATAATCCACGTTTAAAAGAGATATAGGCCTATAGTTTTTTGGTAAAGTAAGATCTTGATCCTCCTTTGGAATCAATGATATAAAAGCACTACGCCATGAAGGAGGAATCTCTAAACCCTGTAAGATACCATTAAAAAGATCATTTAATGGTTGAATCATCTCCTCCATTAAAGCTTTATAATAAACAGCTGTTAACCCATCCGTACCCGGTGCTTTCCCTAATTTCAATTGTTGAATTGCTGAGGCGATTTCCTCCTTAGTAATTAAACCATTAATTTCATATTTCTGATCCTCAGTCAGTTTAGGAAAACTTGCCTCAGCTAAATATTTATTTATATCTAACAGTTGTACATTAGTAGATTTGTATAGGTTTTGATAATAATCCAAAAAAGATTTTTTAATTAATTCCTTCTGAGAAACTAGTTTACCCTTATAATTTATTTTCTCTATTATTCTCAGTCTCTGTTTCTTTCTTAATTGATAAGCCAACCATCTCCCCGGCTTATTAGCATTACAAAATGTATTTTGTTTCATAAATAATAAATTGGTTGCAGCTTGATCTGCTATCAACATATTAAATTGTGACCTTAATAACTTTACAGATTCTTTAGTACTTTCATCAGAAGGATTTAGAATCAAAGCCCTTTCTTTTAGTTTAATTTCATCTTCAAGTTCTCTACGTTTCTGAGTCTGATTTCGCTTATAAAAATTATTCATTTTTATCAAAACACCGCGCATAAATGCTTTACCTGCATCCCATACCATTGACATTGAAGTCCCCTTATACATATTCAAAGCAAAATAGTCCTTTAAACACTCCTTTAGTTTTTGAACATTCTTCTCTTGTCTAAACAAATTTTCATTAACTCTCCAGGATCTTCTTTCCTCTTTCTCTTGAATCAACTCCATCCAAACTGGACTATGATCCGTCAGTGATCTAGGAAAAATCTTTACATTCTTTACTTTATTATACAAATCCGTGGTAATCAAGAAAAAGTCAATTCTTGAAAAAGATTGGTGTCTGTCAGAAAAAAAAGTAAAGTCTCTCTCCTCTTGATTACGTTCCCGCCAATAGTCCCTTAATTCCCAGTCTTCTTTCATATCAAAAAAGGCTTTAGGTAGCCTTGCTTGTTTAAGAAAAGGAGAGGAACCTTTCTTATCCCTTTGTGTATCTAAGACACCATTCCAATCACCCATTAATACCACCGATCTATAATCAAGCAAAGTTATTTTTTGGTGTAACTGTTTATAAAATTGTTCCTGTTGTTGATTTGGAGCATAAAGTCCAACTATAAGTACTTTCTTACCATAAATACCAAGTTCAATCATCACATATCTCCCCTGGGGATCTGATTCTACCAGACAAGCTGGCAGGTTTTGTTTGACATATATAACAACTCCCCCTTTCTTCCCAGGTGCAGGAGATATAAAATGAGATCCCAAACGAGCATTAACTAAATATTTCTGATCTTTAAGTAGAATATGAGTTTCCTGTAAACAAATAACATCATTGGTATGTTGTTTCAAATAATAAAAGATTTTTTTCCGTTTCTGAGGAGAATTCAATCCATTAACATTCCAGGTCAAAAACTTTGCCATCTCCCTTGGCACGCAGCCTGGAGAAGACACCATCAAACTCTGACAGAGCTGCGTGTGTTGCATAACTCTTGGGTCTTGCTCCTCCCACCGGCGGTGATGCACTTCCAGGAGAATTCTCTTTGGGCTCTTTTTTACGTTGCTCTTTCTCTTTACGCTTATAAGCTGCACGAGTCATCCTCTGCTCTTTAGCCTCCGTTTGGCGTTGCTTTGCCACTTCTATCATCCCTGCGGAAACCAAATCTAGTGCCTCAGATTGCTGCTCAGGTTCCTTAGCACTCAAAGATTTCCGACCAGATGAAGTTGAGCCTGCACTCAGGACCGAAGTATAGAAATCTCTAGCTTTGTCAACTGTGTTCAATCTGTAACGTGTCCCAGCATGGCTCAAAACGATACCCATCGGAATTTCCCATCTGAATGGCATCGATCTAGCTTTAAGCTCATTGGTTAAAAAAGCAAAGTCTTTCCTACTTCTTAAAATTTTAGATGGGATTTCCTTTAGAATGATAACATCTTGGGCGGCAATCTGAAATCTTTTGTTGTAAAAAGCTTGTATAATCTCATTCCGCAGGGACTTCTTTGTAAAGTAAATCACCACATCTCTGGGCAAATTCTTCTGCTTAGCAATCCAGGAGTTGAGTCTATAAATTTTTTCTACTTCTCTCTGTAATTCTCCTTTATCCATATCCAAAGCCAGCGCCAGATCACTAAGAACCACCTCCATCAAATCTTGATTCATATCTTCCTTGAGGCCTCTAATCCTCAGAGCATACTCCATTTGTCTGTATTGAAACATCAAAATATCTTCTTGTGAGGAGTCCACCTTCCTTTCCACGTCTTGAATTTTGTCATCTAAAGAGTCAACTTTGTCTTCCACTTCCTCAAGCCTTGCATCGAGCTTAACCACCACAGTAGCCAAACCTGAAACAGCTGCCAGTATATCTTGTCGTAATTCATTATTATTTTCTTGCAATTTAGACTTTATCCCCGTTATCTCTTCTTTGAGATCAGATTTAATTTCTGATTTAATCTGTGAAACAAATTGAGTCATTTCCTCTCTCATTTGAACTACAATCTCTCCCATTATACCTCTAACCTCTTGCACTGAAAGTCCAGGTAGAGGAGGGGAGGGTGGTGGCTGAGCCGGTGGTGCATGTTTAGATTGTTGTTGTAGCTGTGCAGTGGAAGTTATAGGAGAAGAAATAACCTTGGGTACTGAGGAAGGCTGCTGCCTCTTTGAAGCCATTTTAAAAAGCACAATTGTCACTTCCCTTTCCCCTCCAGCCAAAAAGGGAGGAGGAAAAAAAGAAAAAAAGAATTTTTAAAAAGAGACAAACTATAATCATTAAAAGTCCAGAATAAATCCCAAGAATAAGTAATAAAAGAGCAAACAATTCAAAAAAAAAAATTCTAAGCCAAAAGCAAAAGCAAAAGCAAAAAACAATCCTTAAAAAGGGAAAGTAAAACAAAAGAGAAAGGAAAAAAAAACTCCGACACTTTCAAAACGCCATCTTAAGTCCTTTCACTAGTATAACAAAGAAAAGGAGGAAAAATAGTAAAAATCAAAAGATAAAAAAATAAACACCTAAAATATAAGAAAAAGTCCTTTAAACTGCTCCGTCCGTTTAAAAATTACTCACCAAAATGCTGTAAACACGGAGATAGAAGCGGCGGTTTCTTTTGCTTCCAAGGAAGCAAAAACAGCTGGGAGGCGGAGATCAGCAAGAGCTCCGAGGGAACACTCCTTTCACCCCCTCTAGAAATAAATCCAGAGGGGGTTCAGGGGTTCTACCTCTACTCTTGCGTTCTCTATCCCTTCCCTTTGCCCGGGAAGGGATTTCCGAGCCGCGGGCCAGCTGATGCGCGCTGCGCTCCGCGGCTCTGACACTTCCCCAGCTGGACGGCTAAAAGCTAGCCGCCATCGCCGTCGCCTCCCACCGGAAGCTTCCGGAATCTGTCAGTTTCTTGATCTGTTGATAATCAACGTTTTGTGCAGCAACCACAGCTTCCCAGAAACTGTTCAGAGAGGTGTACTGTTCTTCATCGTAAATCTCCCGTTTAAGAAGAGCCCACAAGTTCTCAATAGGTTTAGGTCAGGTGAAGAAGGGGGTCATGCCACTATTCTTTCATCTTTAAGGCTTTTACTGGCAAGCCACACAATGGAGTACTTTGATGCATGTGATGGAGCATTGCTCTGCATAAAAATCATGGTCTTCTTGAAAGATGCAGACTTTTTCCTGTACCATTGCTTGAAGAAAGTGTCTTCTAAAAACTGGCAGTTTTGGGAGTTGATTTTGAGTCCATCTTCAACCCGAAAATGTCCAACTAGCTCATCTTTAATAATGCCAGCCCATACCAGTACCCCACCTCCACCTTGCTGGCATCGATTCAAACAGCAGCTCTGTGCCCATTACTGATCCAGCCACGGGTCCATCAAGAGTCTCATTAGTCCATAAAACCTCTGAAAAATCTGCCTTCAGATATTTTTTGGCCCAGTCTTGCCATTTCAACTTATGTGTCTTATTCAGTGGTGATCAGGCTTCAGCCTTCCTTACCTTGTCCACGTCTCTGAGCACTAACACCTTGTACTTCTGGGCATTTCAGGCAGGTTGCATATGCTGGAATATGACAGCACTGGAAGTTAATGGGTTCCTGGTAGCTTCACATTTGATTCTTCTTAAATCTTTGGTAGTTAATGTGCATCTTTTTTTCTCAACATGTTTCTTGCAACCTTGTTGACTATTTGCAACAAAACGTTTAATGGTTCTGTGATCACTCCCCAATATCTTAGCAATTTCAAGAATACTTCATCCCTCTAAAAGACTTTTTACAATTTTTTACTTTTCATAGTCAGTTAAAACTTCTTTTGGCTCATTTTGCCTGAGGAAAAGAAGCTAATCATTTCACACACCTCGATATAGGATGTTAATCTCCTTAGGCCACACCCTCCCTCATTACACAAATACACATCATCTGATATGCTTATATCCACTAAGCATTCAAATTTATACAGCTTAGAGTGGAAAATATGCATGAAAATAATGATATGGTCAAAATAGTCACTTGCCTAATAATTGTGCACACAGTGTAATTGTGTTAAATGTGGAATTAAATGGTATCAGATCTACATATACAAACCATTTTCCCAAGCTACTATAATCTCTAAATGGTAACTGAAAAGGATATTTTATGCAACTACTGGTAATTAAATATACCATCAGTAGATATTACTGTTGATTGGAAGACGGCATCAAGTTTGAGTCTTGGGAGTGTAAGTAACATGGAACTTTTGCAGCACTCATTTTACTATTTAATGAGGCACAGGAAAAGCAGATTAATGAAATAGACTCTTTATTGCTGCACACATGCTTATATATTAAGCTTTTAAATATATAATTATATTGCCATTCTGTAAAGCTTTACATTTTATTTTAAATAACAGAGGGCCAAGTTAAAGTAAGATCATAATAAGTCTGACATTTAAACTCTCTACAAGGCAATTAATAGCTAGGAAGACTAACAATAAATAATTAGAGATCCATTATTTTCCGAACTTCTTTGGATTTAAGGGAGGGGACCTTTCACTGTATGTTAAATAGATACTAGTCTGTTTTTATCCACAACTCTGATTTATACAAGGGAACCAACAAAATACAAGACAGACCAAGGGATAGCTCATCAAGGAGTTGTACTGAGAAACACAATAATATTGGTAATTCATTCTGAATGTACTTACATTCTCAGTACTATAAACAAAGTTTTGTTCAGCCACCTTCACTGCCTATCTAAAAGTTAACTGAATCTTCACTTGACAATATTTTTAAAAAGTTTTTTTTATTTAAAAAACCCCAAATGCAATTACCAGTAGTAATTTTCTGTGCTTATATCATGTTAACTTTACTAGATACTTGCAAAGAAGAGAACACTAGAATGCTATGTATAAAAAAGCGTACTGTGCTTTGTTTGTTGCAATAATTTACTGTTCAAATAAAAATGGAAACAGAAAAGGTTATGATTTATTCCAGTATGATGTCCATTTATTCACTGGAGGGGGCTCATAAGTTGGTACAAGAAAAATTCTTTAATATTTGCCAAAGATGTTTGCCAAAAAGAAATGTCAAGAAATCCAGCATTTTAGTTCCCTTCATTTTCCTGGTAAAACGGAGGAAAAGAAAGATCTTGGCCAGGCTTTTATTTATGGCTTGTGAATAACAGACTAGTTCCTTATGCTTTTAAATAAGCATCATTCCTTTAAGGGTGTGCTTTTCTTGGCATACTATTAAGAATACACAACGTTTTGACCTTACGTGTAAAGAGTTATCAGTGCATGGAAACTCTGCTAGAGTCCAACATCATTTTTGTCACATCAATATCTCACTAAAGTTAATCTACCAACGCAACTGCTGTAACACTTACTAACAGTATTACTGTAATATACAACAATATTTCCTCATAACGTCAGGATAATCCAAATGGGAATTTAGTTCTTTCTTTGTCAAATTTATCTAATAATGAGCACATAATTCTAGAGTGGTTGGGTGACACAGAACCCTGGCTGATCTACCTAGTATGGGTTTCATTGCATTTCCCATCCCTTCCCCCCCCCCCACTGTCTGAATGGCCACAATGTATTTTCCACCTATCATTCATATTAATGGGAGGAATAACAAAGAACATAATGAACTGGACAGTGGTGAGACAGTATTTACATACAGACTAAGATCTTAATAACCAGTCCGAATTGTCTCTTTTCAACATGAAAATATGGCATGATGATGCAGATGAAAGGTCTGCTATGCTGTTCTGAACTTAGTACTTAAACTAATCTCACAAGCTATGTATATACACCCTAGATTGAATATATACAGTAGGGGGAAACAGCACCAGTCTCATTTAGGAAACCTGCCAATCAATTACAGAGCCAGCTAGAACATCTGTTATTGACAGGTGATTGTAGACATTAGAACTGTGTACATATGGATGACCTACACCTCACTGTGTCCAACAATAGAATATTGTTAAATTTTCATACAGACCTTCACATAGGGGACCTTAATGTGAAATGACTTAAATCAAATGATGTATACCCTAAAATATTGCACTGTATATACTATGACATGTGAATATATTCTCATCTGCCATTCAATATATCAAAGGGTAGAACTAGTTAGCAAGGTGATACCTTCTATCGCCTCACAATATTGGGATCTGCACAAAACAAATTTATGCTTCCACTGCAAAGGCAAACAATGCTCCATCAGTCCATTGTGGTATCATGCAAGTACAACATAGTCACTTGTACATACATACTCCATGCTGAAATTTGGAAATCACATAAGTAAATCCCCAAGCACAGTAAAATCAAAAGAACATTACTATCTACAGATATGCAGATATACTAAACCTTCATGTCTCAGTGTCCCTATAAAACAGCAGAAAAGGGGAGAGGGCAAGTGCTTTTGCACCATATGGTGACAAAATATTTTATTTCAAGGATCAATTTTTTTAAAAAAGTAAATGAACTTGATCAGCTGATAAATCAGGCAGCTAGATTAGAAAACTGAGGGTCTGCTCAGTTCCAGCTGTGCACATTTCGAAGATTAGGCTGTAAGTCTAACAGCAGGCAATCTCAGCTTTTAGTCCACCAACTTCATATTCTTATAATTCAGTAAAAGCTTTTATTTCCTTCTTTACCCAACAGGAATGGCAATATTCTGAAGGATGGACCCATTTTCATTGAGCTTTTTTGGACTGCAGTAATTGGTTGTATGCCAAATAGTACATTCACTACATGCAAATCTTTCATCAACAACATAACATATACCTAACCATGTTTTCAAACTACAGATTCTTATGGGGACCTGTTTCCTGGAAGAATTAAAATATTAATTCAGATGCAGTAGTCATCAATGTAAAAAATAAGGAAAGCATAAATAAAACATAAAGAAATGGGAAAATCAAATAGAAAGAAAAAGATGTGAACTTTGCAGAAATGAACTCTGAACTGATACTTCATTTAATTACACAAGAAAATCTCCCAGATTAACATTCAAGTCCAATGCTAGCCAAAAGATTATCCAGAGCATCTAATTTCTGGTTAGCCTCTTCAATGGCACTGTACGTTTGAACGTTGCTGGTTATATGAAAACGGATGTCGTCCACAAGAGGAATAGAGTCCGTCTCCTGCCGCTCTTCCACTGCGTCAGCATTCTCTTTCACTGCTGCTGCAAATTCCTCAAACTCCACTAACTGAAGAAACAAGGGACAGAAAATGGATAAATCCAGAAGAATCTTTATCAGACTGTTTTCACTTATGCTGTCAATGGCAACAAAACTAAATTCTCAGAGCGCAAAATCCTGCACCCTAAAAATAACTGTTTTCACTAGCCTAATTCCGCTCTGAGAATAAGATGAAAAATGTATTTTAAAAAAAGCAGCCTTCTAACGCTATAACAAAATAATATAGTGATGGCACAAATCTTTTAAAAACAAACCTTGACCCTTGGCCTTTTAGCCACATTGCTTTTAAACACACAACTCACAGAGGAATGTTTGCAGCCTCACTCACACCATAGCAAGTATTGTCTCTACTACATGCTTCTGTTTTTCATAGCTTCATCCAATAAACTATAACAATGAAGGACTTTTTTGAATTCTGAACTCTGGGGAGATTAATCCAATACCTCGTACTGGTTTGGAGATGAGAAGGACAATTACAAAAAAATCAATTATTGGACCTTTGAAAAGCAAAATTGGGTCATGCTTGTTCCTAGTAAAAACATAGGTGAGGAATTTTGTATTAGTGAAACTGTTAATTTGGGGGGGGTGCACTTTCACAAACAAGAAATAATTTCACACCTCTCTCAAAACCTGTTAAGTAAAGAATGTTGCAACTTATGTGGGAGTGCTAATTAAAACCATTTATAAAATCAGTAAATTGACTAAGGAACAGTGAATTTCACTTAAGAAAAATTGGTGCTGGTCAAATAGATCTTCCATGTTCCATAACCAAGTGTGAAATTACACGGGAAGAAACAAGATCATTTCCTTCTACTGGGGTCAAACACCGGTGTGGACATCAATATCATCTATATATCTATATCTAATCTCTATCTTTATCTATCATCACACATACACAAACACACACACAAAGTGGATATACAATGTACTACAGGTTACTTAAAGCATAACTCAAAAATGATTTTCCCATCAATTTAATTAGAATGATAAAAGTAGCTTTCTCTATATGTCCTCTCAAAAGGTATAACATAAAATCAAGATTAAAGCAACAGGATGTATAGTGAGGGAAAAAAGTATTTGATCTCCTGCTGATTTTGTAAGTTTGCCAACTGACAAAGAAATGATCAGTCTATAATTTTAAAGGTAGGTTTATTTTAACAGTGAGAGACAGAATAACAATAAAAAATCCAGAAAAACGCATTTCAAAAAAGTTATAAATTGATTTGCATTTTAATGAGTGAAATAGGTATTTGACCCATTTGCAAAACATGACTTAGTACTTGGTGCAAAACCCTTGTTGGCAATCACAGAGGTGAGACGTTTCTTGTAGTTGTCCACCAGGTTTGCACACATCTCAGGAGGGATTTTGTCCCACTCCTCTTTGCAGATCCTCTCCAAGTCATTAAGGTTTCGAGGCTGACATTTGGCAGTCGAGCCTTCAGCTTCCTCCACAGATTTTCTATGGGATTAAGGTCTGGAGAGTGGCTAGGCCACTTGAGGACTTTAATGTGCTTCTTCTTGAGCCACTCTTTTGTTGCCTTGGCCATGTGTTTTGGGTCATTGCAATGCTGGAATACCCATCCGTGACCCAGTTTCAATGCCCTGGTTGAGGGAAGGAGGTTCTCATCCAAAATTTGATGGTACATGGCCCCGTCCATTGTCCCTTTGATGCAGTGAAGTTGTCCTGTCCCCTTAGCAGAAAAATACCCCCAAAGCATAATGTTTCCACCTCCATATTTGCTGGTGGGGATGGTGTTCTTGAGGTCATAGGCAGCATTCCTCCTCCTCCAAACATGGTAAGTTGAGTTGATGCCAAAGAGCTTGATTTTGGTCTCAACGGACCACAACACTTTCACCCAGTTCTCCTCTGAATCATTCAGATGTTCACTGGCAAACTTCAGACGGGCCTGGACATGTGCTTTCTTGAGCAGGGGGACCTTGTGGGTGTTGCAGGATTTGTACTTCATGGTGTAGCGTGTTACCAATTGTTTTCTTGGTGACTATGGTCCCAGCTGCCTTGAGATCATTGACAAGATCCTCCCATGTAGTTCTGGGCTGATTCCTCAGCATTCTCATGATCACTGAAACTCCATGAGGTGAGATTTTACATAGAGCCCAGACTGAGGGAGATTGACAGTTATTTTGTGTTTCTTTCATTTGGAAATTATCGCACCAACTGTTGTCACCTTCTTACCAAATTGCTTGGCAATAGTCTTGTAGCCCATTTCAGCCTTGTGTAGGTCTACAATCTTGTCCCCAACATCCTTGGACAGCTCTTTGATCTTGGACATGATGGAGAATTTGGAATCTGATTGACTGATTGCTTCTGTGGACAGGTGTCTTTTATACAAGTAATAAGCTAAAATTAGGAGCACTCCCTTTACAAGAGTGCTCCTAATCTCAGCTCGTTACCTATATAAAAGACACCTGGGAGCCAGAAATCTGGCTGATTGATAGGGGATCAAATACTTATTTCACTCATTAAAATGCAAATCAGGTTTTAAACTAAAAAAAAGTTAATAACTTTCCAATGCGTAATAGAGGCTTTATAGCCAAATAAGAACATTCTAATACATGTTCTTAATTACATCAATTCTCACTTATATGGATGTTAACACAATTGGCACGGAGGTTCCAAGAAGCTTAGGGATTAAATTAACTGTTCTTATGAATTCATTTTGTTCATGACAAATTTAAATCACTTCACAGAAATTCCAAGAAATTCCTTCATTTTATAAAGGTTTGGCCTGACAAAATTAAAATGGATCACACGTTGGTTAAGAACACAAAATACTGTCTTAGAACAACTGACATAATGTGTTCTTTTAGACCAATTCTCATTATTATTAGGTATTCTTTTTTTTTCTAGACTAGACCATGACTTTTTGGGTAATACGGAAACATATAAAAGTGTATCATCACACTTATCTTGAAGTGGGGAAAAAAATCAGGAATTGATAGCATCTTTGCTTTTTCAACAAATATTTTTTATTAAAAGGCATAAGCTTTCATGAGCTGCAACTCACTCCATCAGATTATTAGTTGGGAGGGGAATATCTATGATTGATTTCACTCAAAGTTGGCATTTTAGGATTTTTGTTAGTCTTCATATTTTTCTTCTATTTATTATACCTTTGATGGGATTGCTTTAAATTTAGGATTGTCTTGCTTCTGGCTAAAGATAAATTGTAATTGTACATAGTATTTGTATTTATAAAACGTTTTTAGATGAAGACACAACTTCATTTTTATGGCAGTTATCACATTTCTCACTATAACATGGGAAATAGTGTTTATTCCACTATATGACATCCCTTGCTATAGACATCCATTTCTATAGAAACCAACTGTGGTTATGGCTATAAAAAAATAGCAAATTTTACAAATAAACTAATCGCTTATTGGAACTTAGGTTTTAAAGCCCTTTCATGTCAAATGATTATTTGCAGCCTGTCAGACAAATAATATCTATAGTAGCTGTCCTTTACCTCCTTTTTATTACCTTCTCAATTATCCTTGCCATATACTCTGTGCACTGATCTTCCAATCGGGTCAGCTGGAATAGTTTTGCAATCTTCCAGATGCTGACAACACTGTCTTCATCGAGAACCTGTGCCAAAGTTCTCCCACACAGGCGCTTAAGCCCAGGTAACAGATACATATCAGCGACACAAAGCACTTCATAGGCGTTTTCAGGAGACAACTGCTGGGACAAAAGGCATCAATATAATTAAACTCAGTATGACTCAGTATTTTCCCACTACAAGACAGATTGAAAGCCCAATCTGAATTAGGACAAAAGAGATGCAGACTGTAGTACAACTTCAGCCATGGAAGTACACTTGGGACCACTCTTACGTTCTCTCCTCAACCTACATCACAGAGCTACTGTGTGTGTGTGGGGAGGGGGAATTAAAGGTGTAGTGCTATGTGTGGTGCCAACAGTTCCTTGAGGAAAGAAGTACCAGTAGTATAAATCCAACAAATCACAATCATATGAGCTGTGGTGGCACAGTGGTTAGAATGCAGGCTATTTCTGCTGACTGCTGACTGCCGACTGCCTGCAGTTTGGCAGTTCGATTTTCACCAGCTCAAGGTTGACTCAGCCTTCCAGCCTTCTGAGGTTGGTAAAATGAGGACTCAGACTTATGGGGGCCATATGCTGACTCTGTAAACCGCTTGGAGAGGGCTGTAAAGCACTGTGAAGCAGTATATAAGTCTAAGCCATATTGCTATTGAAAGATGCAACACTGATAATTTTAATGTCCACAAGTGTACACAAAAAGCTAAATCCACAGTAGTAATAGTAGTAGTTTTATTTTAAATCAGTAGATGCTATAGCATCTACTATAGATGCTATCTACTAGATATCACCATAGATATCGCCAAATAGATATCTATAGTATAAATTACTGAGAACCCAGAAAGCATCATGAAGAGAGCCCTCTTACAAGTCAAGGGACATTCCCTTGAATGTCCATTGCCTAGGCTGAAGAAAGCTACTTTTAAGAGGGAAGCAAATTCTCTTCTCAAGTTGGCTCATGATGTCATCAAAGAAATAAATTTGAAAGGTGAACTGAAATCCATTTAGTACTCTTTGGTTCAAGAAAGTATATGTCAACATTACAGAAATGTATCCTATGAAATAATTTTGTGAAAATATAACTTCTCCACAGAAAAAGGAGTGCATATTAATTAAAACTTGAAGTTGGAAGAATCACACAAATGTTTCCCTGTAATCACTACATTGTATAATGAACAATAATTCACAAACAGATATTATGTATTAACTTCAATAAGTGTCTTCTGGGATCATATTCCTCAAATCCCTCATCTGGATAGGTTTAATTTAAGATCAATAAACCTACAATATTGTTAATGATTACACACAGCATTCATATTTTCAGACTTTTTATTTATCTCATAATGTAGGTAACCTTGTTAACAACCATTCAAAGTTACAATGGTGCTGAACAAATGGTATTTATCATGGGTCTGCAATGGGTCTTACAGCATCCCTTTAGTTATGTGATCATAATTCAGCTGCTTGGAGCACACCACTCACCTTTTCAACCACAAAGTGCTTCAATGCCCCCAATCAACCTGTCTCCTCCCCAGCATCTCTGCTCTTTTGATCAGCCTGCCTGCACCTCCATCTGACCTTTATTATCTTCTTCCTCCTGCTAAGAGGTGAAGCCTCTCATGAAAGTCAGCAAGGGGTGGAAGGGGTGGCAAAGTGCAGGAGGTCAGAGGCAGCGGGGTGCAGAGTGGCCAAAAGGGCAGAGATGGGTGGGTGGGGAGAGTTGAAATATACCCCAGGTTCAAGTGCTCAAATTCTGGTCAGGCGACCACTTGGTTACTGCAATGGCCATATCTTCAAGGACTGATCTAAATAGCATTTTGTCAGCACCGTTATCATTTCAAATGGTCGCTAAACAAATGGTCCTTAAATAAGGACTACCTGTATTGTATTTGCAAAAGATACCAAGCTAGGAGGAATAGTAACATCTTAAAGAATGAAATCCCAATTCAAAATGATAGTGCAACTGGGAAAGTGCTTTTTAGCTAGCTAAAGGAAAACAAGGACAGATGGCTTGGTTGGCATCTTTACTGTTGCCCTGCAGGGCGGCAAAAGGAAAAGAGAAAGTACACTATCTCAAACAACGTTCCACAGAGCAACAGGAGCTCCTGCAACCATCTATTCTCTACAAAACAATGTCTCAAGACTGTGGAGTAACCAACATATCTTCTTGGTGCGATAAATTTAGGGAGAGGACAGACACAATAACTGGGCTTTTATGCTAGAAAGAAGTCACTATCACTATTATGTTGGTCTATGACCTTATAAAGATTTGATTTGCACTATCTTTCGCTTACGTCTGTTGAAGAGCAAATATGGTTATTCTCTAAGACAAAAAACAGGCAAAAAGCAGTTTTTGCAGAGAGCAAAATCGAATGCCTAAAATTCGTTTCAGAAGAAAGGCGGCAAGTATTCTCTGCCTTTGTTCTTGCCTTTCAGTGCATGAAGTACTGTGCACATGTACGTGCAAAGTTCCTCTGCAGTGAAATTAGGCTAGCTCAACGTGAGATATACATTCAATGTATGGGAATAAGGTCTCCATCTCACATTTTACCTATCACACTGCTACCTGATGGAACTTCATGGCTCAGATTGTTAATGTTAATTTCTCTTTCTACTTAGAAAAATAAGGCACATATCTTAAAGTTCATTTTGTCCAAAGACCATTGCTTATTTGACTGCATTATCATGAATTACTGAATGTGCGTTATCACACTTCCATTTTACACTGAACATTCACCATCTTGGGAAAAAAAGATATCTAGTGGCCTAGTGTCTATAATCATTTTGACATCACAAACACCAGACTATTGTTTCATATCCTCTATCTTTCTGAATAATTCTCATTAAACAAATCCATCATTACTTGTGAAAAATATATGTTCAGAAAGTTTCTCAGAACTGAATTATCACGATATGGTACAGAAAATATAGCATCCATGCTATAGAGTTCAGTTCCATTAAGAATTTTCTAAATTCTAAAGCTGCAACCAAGACTTTGCACTATATGCGACAAGAAAATGCAGCATAAAAACAAGTAAACTATTTTTAGCTCTGGCCAGTTTGCTAACTGTATACTGCCCTCTGCTGGCAAACTGACCACTCCGCGTGCCATCGCACTTCTGTAAAATCACTTCCAGTGAGCTCAACTCCTGCTTGCTTTATGGATCCATCCCTGTGGTATTCTTGGCAATCTCTACAGTTTTTGCTTCTGGGACTTTTTTTTTTCATCTTTCCCGATAAGCCAACAGTATACCTTACAAAAATATTCCTTGTTACTATCAGGAATACAAAGGTGAAAGAATATGTGTTAATATATGCACATGTGTGCGTCAGCATGTTGTGAGACACAGAGTGAGTCTCATCCACATATAGGGAAATAAAAGATACACATGAAAGTAAAGGCCAAAAAGATCCCAGTGGTGGTATGAGCATTTGGGACTGTTTCTCCTAAGCAGGGAGAGGGGCTCCAACAGATCCCAGGAACGACATCAGAGCTCTCTGTCCAGAAGACTGCAGTGCTAGGAACAGCCAAGAGACTGCGCAGAACCCTCAAACTCCCAGGCATCTGCTAGAGGACCTGAAACTGAGGAAGACCTATGCCACCCATAAGGATAAGAAGGGATTTTTATTATTATTTTATATATAGGGCAGGAATCCAGTAAATAGTACAAATTTAATAAACAACTTCCTTTAACCAGAACAAAAACATTAATTATATTCAAATATGCCTTTACTGCTTATTAATAAAACCTCAAGTAAAATTCAAGCAAAAAAAGGGTTAATTGGCCAAGAATCACAAAAATTGCAGGAAGATAAATATTTTAAGAGAATCAAGAAAGGATGCAAGGGATTATGTTACCCTAATTTAATGGGTAGTTTTATTTATCTTCATACAAGTACAGCAAACACCATACAATGCCGGTTCTGCCATGTTTATTTTGCTCAATAACACCATGATCCTTGCTAGAAAAAATAGTATAAAACAGGGGTCCCCAACCCCGGTCTGTGGACCAGTACTGGGCCGTGGCATGCCAGCAACCGGTCTGCACAAACAAGCAAAGCCCCATCCGCGGCATGCAGGCAGCACACAAAACCACGCACCCTCCAATCTGCAGAAAAACTCTCACCACGTAACCGGTCCCTGGTGCCCAAAAGGTTGGGGATCTCTGGTCTAAAATGCCTCATGCTGAAAAAGAAGAATCCCGGTCTCACCTCTGTATCATCACTATAGATGTAATACAGAACTCTGATGAAGATCTCCTCTGAAATGTCATGGAGAGTCACCACAGGGATACTGGGTTGGGTTTGTAGCTCCTCACTCTCTGAGAAGTGGTCCTCTAGGAGGGCTTTGAAATAGTCACTTCGGCCACAGAAAAATGCCTTCAAAAAGAGAAGATATGTACATATACACATATGTATGTGTGCGGATATGGATGTATACACACACACACACACAAAATAATGGAATCTTCTTGGTTAAAATAAGCAAGCAGCAGGATCCAGAAAAGAGTCTGTGACAAGGCATCCATCCCAAACTTTTTAAAGATCAAAAATTGATCACGCTTACCATCTTTTATCTTTATTTTTTGTGTAATTGATTTTATTGTAACTTCATTGTTGAGAGTTGGGAGGCATACAAGTTTAATAAATAATAATTTATTGTTATCCGATAACACATTCCTATTCTGGAAATTTCCTACAAGATATCACATAAATAAATGTGCATCATTGGTTCTATACAAGATCTTTTAATATTGAGGAAAACAACAAGAATCGACCCAAAGCAAATCAATGCACCCTATACCTTGTGACAGAAGAAACTGTAATTTGACACTCGGAAACACAGATCAGGATAACTGCTGAAGCTGTCGGTGCTATCAAAAGGCAACTCTCCAAAACCTACCTAAACACAAAACAGAAATAAAACAACTTTAGTATTTGACCATATATTTAATAAGATTACACTACATAAATGCACAATTATGTATATGCATAATATACAATTATATATTCAAATATATAACACAACACATGATTGGAAAAATATTGCCTTTTCACCACTTTTATCATCTTGGTGTAGGATTATACCTAAACTCTGATCAGACTTGCTTTTGACCTTAATCCCAATGACATTCTAAGTCTCCACAACCATTCCATTTCTCAGAGTATTTCAGTAAATCAAAGAATGCCCTTGGCTCTTTGGGCTTGGAGAACTGTTTGGCTATAATCCTAAAATTGCTGTCCTTAAATTTTTAAACGTATACTCTTTGTTACATCATAGATCTACAGTCTATGTAAGACTATGAGACTCTACATTGACTCTCTCAGAAAGTCAAATGAACTGTAAACCAGCATTATTCATACATACATCTATAAATACATTAAAGAGTCACATCTTTGTTGAAGTCTTGCTTTGTGCTGAGCTATTTGTTAGGCGTTCCTTTTCCTTTCATGCATACTTTATTTCCATTATACATTAATTGCTGTTAATGTAGTCAGCAATCAACCTTCATATTCACACGATAATTCAAAGCTACTTGCTTTATTACATGCTTTGTCTAATAAAGATAGCTATTCTATTCCTACTAATCAAATGACAGGAGAAATAAATGAAAAAGAAAATGTTTCTATTAGCAGAAAAGTTACCATACATAACAAAGGCCAGCAGAGAGCACCTGGCATATGCTAAATACAATACAATACAATAAACGTTGTCTAACAGGAGACTTGGTATAAAAATGATTTATGGTAAATTTTCTGTTTATAGCAAATCAGAAAATTTTGCTCCAATGTTTAGATTTACAGTCCAAAGTTCTTTATAGGTTCCACGTTTTATTAGTTTACTTTTGTTAACAGAGCCAAAAATGCAGGGAACGTACAGAAAAATATGAAAAGGATTTAACATAGAATTAAAAACACATAACGCCTGAGTTCTGAATGCTCATCAATCTAATCCACATGCAGTCAAAGGATGTGTGCAACTTCATAGAGTCCTTTTATTTGGCATGTGCTCATGCTTCAATTTTCTGCCATAGGAAGTGGGAACTTTAGCAATTTCTCTTTGGAATAAGAGTGAAAGTCATATATATTTGGAACAGTATGAAGCGCAAAGGCTCTCGCACAACTAGATATTGCAACTATTATAAAATGAAAAGCACGTTTTTTCAATATCTAACATGCCACTATATTGCAAAGGAAAACAGTGAATACTGAAGACTGGCATCCAGTATTGGCAAACACCAAATATCAAAGTTCATTTTCCTAAGGCTAGAACAAGTGGAGTCTGGAGAGCTGAATGAACTGAAACATGCACTTGTTAAGGCTGGATTGAACCCACAAGTTTTTTCATTGATATGGAAAATGATAATATTTCTATCAAACATGATGGCTACTGTAATAAAACTATCTGAGCTGGCAATATTGACAATATCAAGCCTTTTGCAAGATATTACAAAAAAGCAAGATGAAATGAGGCTATCAATTCATGTCAAAAATACAGTTGTGAGTAGGTAAACTGCCCATCAAGATTATGTAGCTCTGGTTACCCTAAGAAATATGGGTCTCCCCCCATTTATGTTCCTGTTCCTTTAATGCTTATGGAACTCAAAGTGCCATACATTTTTATATAAGATTCATCTTAGCTTTCAGCAGTACAGTATTTCATCATGATGGAAGTAATTCAGTCTATGTTTTTAAAGAAACTGTTTAGGCAGGATACTGCATGGCTACCTGAGGATGCTCAAGAATAATCTGAGACCATCTGTCAGAAGACTAGAGTTCAGACAAATGAGAACTTTGCTACAAGACAACGACCCTAAATATTCCAGTAAAACTTCCAAGGAATGGCTGAAAAAAATATATAAAGAAATGGAGGGTTCTGTAATGGCCAAGTCAAAGTCTGGATCTAAATCCCATCAAAATGTTATACAATGATTTCAAATTGGTTAAGCATGTGAGAAACAACTCATATGGCACAGCTGAAAACATTCTCCATGGAGAAGTGAGAAAATTCCTCCCCTTCAGATTAGAGACTGATAGACAATTAAAAGAAACACCTGTTTGAGGTTGTTTCTGCCAAAAGGGTCAATAATCAATGGTGCTCTTCTTGTACAGGAGGAAATGAAATATCTGTTAATTTTTTTGTTGAATAAATATGGCAAAGCCAATTCTTTATAGTTCTTTTCTGTTCAATTACATTACCTTTATTTTTCTATACTTTATGACTGAAGATAAATATTGTTATTGTTATGTATTTATTAAAAAAGAAAAAACTTCACATGGGGTGTTCTTAATTTCTCACAGGATTATAATCGCTAATATAATTGCTGTATGCCTGTAAATAAATGTTTCATTGATAGGGATTTCTCCTACAGTCTTTATGCCTTTGAGTTATGGCAGACATGTCAAACACAAGGCCCGCGGGCCAGATGCAGCCCACGAAGTGGTTTCATATGGCCTGCGAAGCCATCCTGGAAACAATGAGGAAACAGCCCCCGCTGCCTTGGCCCTGGCCCCGGCCGGCTAGGAGCCCATGTACAATTTTGTGGTGGCCATCTTGGCACTTGCTCTGGTAGACCATGCCTTGGCACTTGCCCCGGTCCCACCCCCTTCTGCCAGAGACTCTCAGATCTGTCCCACTCCTGCCCAGGCCCCCATAGGCACCCTAGCCGCGAATGATGTAGAACTGGTCACGCCCCCCAGTAGGCCACACCCACTCTGGCCACACCCACCCAGGCCCCCCAGGGCAACTGCAATGCTGATGCGGCCCTCAGTGAAATTGAGTTTGACACCCCTGGGTTATGGGATTGAAAGAAAGAAAAAACATAATGAAATGCTTAACACAATTATGTGACATAATTTTTTGGCCAAGAACCTTGATTAGTAAGAGTTACATGTTAGTGCATTTTCATATTTTATTTCCTAAAATGTTATTGGCAGATATAGGAAAATATGAAAGATATGGCTTAGAAGCAATGAAATACTGGCTCAAATTCCATTGTACTACTATAGAAACACAAGTGATAGAATTTTAGTCCTGCCTATGAATAATTTATTAGGATACTCTGGCAAAGATTTTCTTTTTTTTCTGATTGGGATTATACTATATCATGAAGGGTAGTAAAATTTTTGTGTGACTGCCAGCAGAAAATGAAAACAGATAATGTCTAATTTAGCAATTCTGGCTGCTTTTATCTAATATATTACAAAGCCTTTATTGATTTGATTTAGGTGCCACCAGATTCCAAGACAACTCTGTGTGGTTCACAATACAAAACAAGTAACAATAAATAGAACAATACAAGTAAACAAGATCAGCATCCAGCGAAAATATACATAATATAGACAGAAACACATCTAGCAAGAGGACCACATCTGTTCTATCCCAAGGCCTAGTAGAACAGCCAGATTTATAAGGCCTTCTGGAAGCAATCAGAGTGGAAGCCACACACATTTCTGAAGGGAACTTTATTCAAGAGGGTAGACACTGTGACAGAGAAGACATAGTTCCTGATCCTGACAGATGGCATTGTTTAACAATAATCATAAAAATCTGGACTGCGTCAACTCTGCCAGCTTTTAGTAGTTGGACAGAAAACATGGAAGATAGGTGGTTTCTCAAATAACCTGGCCTTATGCCATGCGGGTTTGTAATCAGCACACTGATTTGCAACTGGAAGCACAATGGCAATTAAGCTTTGAAATAAGCATGTCATGGGGGCATAGCGAGGCATGCTAAAAACTACCAGCACCAATGCTTTTTGGACCAACTGAAGCTTGAAAGTGCTTTTCAAGGGCAGCTCCATGTACAGAATGCTGCAATATTTGAGCCATGGGGTGACTAGGGCATGAGTGACTCTTCCAATCCAGGAAGCTATGCAAATACCTTCTTAGCCACAGCTGCCACCTCACCTTTGACAGGAGCTGGAAGCCAAGAGGCCACATTACATACCGATATACAACCCCATACAAGGGTAGAAACGGAAAATCCCTGGACCTGGGCACCTGAATATCCACAGCCATTCAATTTGATAGGATCAAGTTGGAGCTATTTTCTCTTCATCCAGATCCACATGGTCTCCATTCATTGGAATAAGACCTTGGCATCATCACTTGGCCAGCTCAGGATCCAAATGTATATTGGGTATCATCTTCATATTGATAATATCAAATCTTGAAGTGGCAGAGGACCACAGTTTCATGTAGTGTTGAATATAAGGGGAGAGAGTATTGAACTATGGCACTCCACAGGACTGACTGAAACCAGCCATGAAGGAAGAGAATTGCTGTAAACACTGTTCTCAATTTCCAATCTCCACAGCCTATCCAAATAAATACTATTACTGATGGTATCAAAAATTCAAAGAGCACAAGGCGAGTTGCATAAGTCTTAACCTAGCTCTGCAAAAAGGTAATCAATCATCACAATCAAGGTTGTCTCTGGGCTAAATCCTAGCCTGAGACCTTACTGAAACTGAGATAATTTGCTTTCTCTAGCTCAATAACCTTCCTTAAAAAGAGAAAACTGGAGACAAGATGTTAAATTGTTCAGAATTGTTCGATCCAAGGACAGACTCTTGAGGAGAAGGTACATCGCTATTTCTTACAAGACTGATGGCATCACCCTCTCCCCAGCCAATAATACAGCACCGACCTAATTGTAAATCATCTCCCAGGCCACCTTAATGACTCAGGGGGATCCTGGATCTAATAAATAAGTGATCAGATTAATTCCTGGCAGAATATTAAGCAAAATGTAATTATATTAGATTATTCAAATGGAGGAATACATCAAAGAGATGGAAACAAGAAATGAAATACTTCCTACCCTGAATTCTGCCGGCAAGGCGCACTCTGCTAGTAGAGCGAGGTCTTCCTGCAACTGTGAATTACCTGATGGTTCAATTGTAAGCACCTTTACACAGGTTCCTGGCTTGGAAGAAACTAAAAGAAACAAAAGCAAAAACACCAAAACTTTAAAATACTGAATATTTTATTGACATGTTCTTCTAACACGAGCTAGAGGTTGGAGTGTTACGTCTGTGATTTACATATATGTATATTTCAGAGTGTAAGTCCAGAAAAGGGAGGACATATAGTAAGAAAACATTTGTTGGATAAAGTTGCTTGCAGTCACTTATAGCTATACTGCTTCTATGAACGTGGGCTGACTTTGAAGTGGTTGAGCTGAGCTTGATCTAGTGATTCCCAGTGAAGTGGAAGGTTTCTATCCCATCTTTCCCCTAAGAACTTATAGTAGCATACCTAGGGTTCTCCCTTTACGTTATCTCCATAACGGCATCTATCCGTTATGGAGAAGTGGCATGGTACCATGAAGACCCAAATGCTTAAATCAAACTATTTTAAAGCCTGTGCCTTCCATTAGAAGACTTAACCTTTTGGTAATTAATGTTGGAGAAAAGACTACTTTTCCATTTTCCTACAGAGAATGACAGTAAGATTGGGAGACTTACCAAATTCATACACCTTTTTACATTTGGTTTCCAAGTCTTCAATGAGATCTTGGAGCTGGCATTGTTTGGCCAATCTCTTGCAGTCATTTACATATTCTACATCTATGTCCAAACATCCTGGTAAACAAAAGAAAAGTGCTAATTATCACTTCATTCTTTCAATTCATTCCTGTTATTGTTTACCAGTATCCTCTGAACTCAGTCTCTCCCTCCGTACAACCATAGCTATAAACTTAAACTCCAGCACCACCCTGTGGCTTAAAATAACACAATTAATACTTTTGTGAACAGAACAGGTTATATAGGTGTCTTAAAGTTATCTTCTAAATGAGGAGGCTTCGATCCGTAGCAGAACATCCAGATTCAGCCATAGTTTCATTCCATACAGCATTAATCTTGTGAACTCTCAAGCTTCCTCCTTCCGTTATATATTCAAGATGGACAGTATTTAATATTTATTTGTTATGTATATGTAGGGGTGTAGGTCTATACATATGTTGTACATAGTGTGTGTCATGTATGTGTTTCACTTTGAGAGCGGGCAACTAAATTTCATTTTTGATGTGTGCCATTGTGCTCACAGTAAAAAAATGACAATAAAAATGACAATCTTATCTAATCTTATCTTTATTAACATGAAGCCTAAGAAGATTCTACTCTTTTACTGCTTTTAACTCTTTATATTTCTTGTTCTTTTTTCCCATTGAAAATTATTGTTTTACAACTACCAAAAATTATGCTACTACATTTGGAACTATTTAATTCTAATCCACAGCAAAAAAAAGTTGCCACCCATGATTTCTTCATTCCCAATATCTTTCAAGAAACTCCAGCAAATCTGAAACTTTCAAAGAAAATGTCAACAGTAAATTTATGTAGAACCTATTACAAATAAGAAATAAAATCCATAGTTTTGATATATCACATTAGACTTACCTGTATAGAGATATTGCAGAAGAGAGCTAAAGGCTGCTGGATTTATCTGTATATGAAACAAATGAGTTACATATAAACATTTGAAAGAAATGATAATATAAATGAGACCTAAACTAGAAAGTAAGCAAGGCCTAGAAAATTCTGTTGGCTGAATTGGGCATCTACAGCTAGTGCAAAATGCAGCCTTGTTTGTAAAATTGGCAAGTCTCATTATGTCCTGTAATACACCTGCTACACGGGATACAGTGTTTACTAGTTGGCTTCTGGCTGTAATTCAATATGTTGATGGTTATCATCCACAAAGCTCCACATGGCATATAGAGCCTAGCAATTTGAGGGACCATAGGAGTCCTCTGGAGTCCACTCACCCTGAGTATTCTGATAGTTGGCTTACTTCAGATTCCATTAATTGGGTAAGGTCATCTATAGGGAACCTAAGAAGCAGGATTTCTCTGTTGCTGGATCTGCCTGTTAAAACAGCCCCTTCCCCACTCCAGAAATCCACTTGGCTCCCACTTTGTCCATATTCAAGCATTTTTTAAATTTCTCCCAGTCTTGGGTTAAAATGAATGGATAGCCCCCCTTGAGGGGAATGTTTAAGGATGGCTTACTGGGTGCCCACTGTTTTATGAATATTGTTTCTTTTTTACACTTGTTCTTTTCACTTTATATATCCGACTAGAGTCACTGGGAGTTGAGTGGAAAAAATAACAAGCAAACAAGTTAAAAAATTCCCTTCAGTAATTAAATTTTAACAGAAATAAGTCATCTATTTACAAACTATGTAATCAGTTGGGTCAGATTTAGGAATATCCAATATGGTGGCAGAAGCAGACTCCTTATTCCTGATGCTTTTGCCATCTTAAGGAGGACACATTAAGCTCCCAGGTAACATTTGTTGAATGTTAATCTGCACTGCAGATTAATGTATCTGAAAGTGGAAATGTGTGATACTTGTGTGATACTTCGGTTAGCATGTTCTTAATGGCAACCCATAATTCCATCACTTTGCAATAAAATTTGTTGGCATCTGTTTTTAAGTAAAAAAGTAAGAAAGAAAGTCTCAAATATAAAAATATTCAGGAAAAACAAAGATTGGGTTTCTTACCAATGGATGTTTCAGTGCTATGACATTCTTCCCCTTCCACTTAGTCTCAAACATTTCTGCAAAATATGCACTTCGAGCACCAAGTACACAGCGATGGGCACAGAAAGACTTCCCATGAACAATAAAAACAATGTCACTATGGTAACCCTGTTCTAGAAGCCTGCAAAGAGATTGAGAGAGAAAAGTAGTTTCACGATTAAACAAGAATAGCGTGGAATAATTCAACTTGACATTTATATGCAATGAAAGCATACATCACCTTTCCCTTCCCCCTTCCAAAGAAAATATTTAAAAAAGCATTATTAATTCTGAATTTGATAAATTCTATTTTTCTTATTGTACTGTTACAGTTTTTATTCTGGATGATACATTCTTAAGATATAAATCACCAGTTACAACTGTATGAAGAAAGAACAGTTTTAAACACCCCGGTAGCTTTTTTACACACTCCATCTTCTTAATCACTTAAATTCCTTGCAATCAAATCCTACACTAATCCTCTCCAAAAATCTTTAAAGAAGCCATGTCTTTCCCTGGACTTCCACAGTAAGTGCACAAACCAACTCTTCAGCTCAAAGACATATTTTACTGAGTCTATGCAGATACTGGGAAGTCCAGGCAAAGATGTGGCTTCTTTAAGGATCAAAAGGCAGCTAGGGAGAGGAACCCTGCATACTTCTATATAACATAGTGCCCTAACTTAAAATTGTCACTTTTATTGCTATGGGAAAGCATGATAATAGAAGACAATGATACAGCCCCCTCTGAAGATGACTCTTTTGCCAACATCAGAATACATCTTTTTACCGCTGAAGAAAGGCATCATAGTAGTCCCTCTTCATGCACTTTGCAGTGATCTGCTTATATTCTTTCAATACCCGCCGAATAGTATCATTTAGAGCTCCATATAAGCAACGTTCACCATCAAAGGTGTTTGCTTCACATTTTGCACCTGTAAGGAAGATCAATTTACATAATGTAAAAATGTACCAGATTACATAACACATTTTTATCAGTATTATTTTTGGCAGGATAACAGAGAGAAACCAAATAATTTCTTTTTTTTTTAATTTTTATTCATAATACAATTAAAACAACAATGGACAAACATGACATTCCAGAATGAATTTTCCAATCAGTTCCTATCATAGTACAAAAATTTTATACATTGTTCTTAACCTCTATATAAACCTCATCTTTTATACAATACAATTATATATACAATGAACAGATCCAAGGTCTAGAAATCAAGAAAGAGACATTTAAAATACAAGCCTTTGCAGATGATTTAGTTTTTATAATTGAAGAACCACTACAATCAGGGATTAGACTGATGGAAACATTGAATAGACACGGGGAAATAGCAGGTTTAAAAATAAATAAAGAAAAAACTAAAATGCTTGTCAAAAATATGACAAACACAGAAAAATGAATTGGTTGACAGAATTGGTGTTCAAATCACAAATAAAATTAGATATTTAGGGATACAACTGACTGCCAAATGCGCTACGCTTAAAAGGGATAACTACGATAAGTTAATAGAACAGATTCAAAAAGACTTTGATATTTGGACTAACCTACAGTTCTCTTTTATGGGCAGAATTGCAGTGATAAAAATGAATGTGTTGCCAAAAATCTTATTTTTGTTCCAATGTATACCTATAAAATTAGACAAGAATTTTTTTCAAAATTTGAATAAAATGATGTGTAAATTCATCTGGCAAGGAAAAAGAGCAAGGATTAAATTAAAATTACTGCAGGACTCAAAGGAAAGGGGGGGATTTGGTCTTCCAGACTTGGAGAAATATTACCAGCCCGCAGCATTAGTATGGGTAAGAGATTGGATATTACTAAAAAATAGGAGACTATTGTGTCTGGAGGGCCATGACCTACAAATAGGATGGCATGCCATATTATGGGATCATAAATATAAAGTACATAAATATTTTCGAAGTCACTATATTAGGCAAGCTCTTATTGATGTATGGACAAAAATTTGGCAACCAAATTATACCCAAGTACCTAGTTGGATCTCACCGTTAGAAATATATGTACACCAAAAATTTACTCAATTAGACAAGATCATAACATATAAAAATATTTTAGATGAAAGAGGGGAATTGAAATCCAGGAAAACCATCCACGATGAAGGGATAGAATTAGAATGGTGGGCATACCTGCAACTGCAGGCAAGATATCGGAAAGACAAAAAAGAGTTAGGCATTAAATTAGAAACAATAGAATTGGATAAAATAATTTTGGGGTCGGAGGATAAAATGATTAAAAAATTATACTACTATTTGCTAGATCAGGCAACGTACGAGGAACAAGTAAAAGTGACTATGTTGAAGTGGAGTAAGGATTTTGGTCTTAATTTTGATCTGCATATATGGCAAGAACTATGGGCAAGAAACAAGAAGCTTACTTTGGCCACCTCTTACAAAGAGAACCTTTACAACATGTTTTATAGATGGCATCTCCCACCCACAAGATTGTCTAAAATGTATACCAATGTCTCCCCTAAATGTTGGAAATGCAATTTGAAAAGTGGAACTTACTATCATATGTGGTGGGAATGCACGCGAGCTCGTGATTTTTGGAACAGGATTAAAATTTGGTTGGAAGAAATATTAGAGCAAGCGGTAGAACCAAAACCAGAACTCTTTCTATTAGGTTTAACTACGCAAAAACATGACAAAGGCGTATTTTATTTAATGCTACACATTTTAACGGCCTCCAGGCTGGTTTTTGCTCAAAATGGGAGGAACAAGGAAACCCCAACGGAAGAAGAGATCCTGCATAAAATTCTAATATGTGCTGAGATGGACAGGCTTACAATGATTATGAAAGACAAAACGGAACACGAATACTTCGAAATCTGGGGCAAATTTTACCGCTGGTATGAATTAAGAACTGCTCGGACTTCAAACTAATAGTAGAATTAAAAGATATACATAACTGTACAAATAATTTCTATAGAGCCTTTAGACATAACTGTTATTTTTAGGTCCAAAGAAAAGCTTACGAAATAAAATCAAATTCCATCCACTTAAGAGCTCATTTAAGACTATGAAGCAATATTTTAGAGAAAATAGATTTTATTGTTGCATGAATTAGATCAAGTTTCTAAAAATGCTAATAAAATGAAAACTGAATTCCTGTAGTAGAGAAATTTAGGTCCTCAGAATATTAGACTATTACATTATGCTACCCTAATTGGCTGAAATAATAGAGAAAATCAATTTACATACAAAGTACAAGAGATGTAGAAAAACAATGAACATAATTTGATTTTGTCATTTCAGTGAATTTTGTCATTTCAGTGAATTTTATCATTTGATTTTGTCATTTGTCAGTGAATTGAGTATTATATATTAATACTCTCAGCTAATAAGTTTCATTTCTAGGTGACTGGCTTACATACTGCTTCTGTTAAATTTTTTTAATTGTAAAATATCCTGTACCTGTATCCCTAATTTTAGAAAAGCAGCAAATCACCTCAGGAATATGTTCATGTATTAAGACATGAATCTGCCTTATGATTTAAACCACAATCTCTAAAGGTTCTATAGAAGTTATTTGGTTTTAATGTCTGACCTTTATTTTCTCAGGTAAACTTTCAGGTAACAAGAATTGTATAAAGTTAACTGCATTCCTTTTTAATATATTTTTCCTTGCAATCAAATTATTATGAAACAGTATTAATTCTCAAGAAAATATGGGTGAGCTACAGCTTGGTTTAGATGGATCACTATGCCAAAAGAGCTATTCCTGATTTTCAGGTTTCTTCTACTATGCACTTCATAGATTACAACAGCTGGCCATTTAAAGTGAATGTATTTCTAGTGTAAAACTTGGACCAGTTGGATCCAAGGGGAAAAGACCAACATTTCTTTGATGTTTAAAACAAGTTGAAAGGAACTACAGTTTTCATCACAGCAAGATTATTAGCCAACTTTACAGTTCCAATTCTAGAGGGCATAAAGTGACAAACATATATTTATTTCTAGAAGAATATGTCAGTCTTCTTACCACTGGCTAGAAGGTATTGCACAAGTTCTTCATGTCCACAGAGACAAGCATAGTATCTATAAAAGAGAACAGTGAGATCAGAAATAAACTAATAAAAATAAAATCTTTACAGAACAATGCATCATGAGTCCCAAAAGCTGGTCCATAGCACCAATTCTGCAATTGAATGGAAACTCTAGAATTACATGAAAGATTAGGTCTCTTCAGAGTTATTGCTCTGTTTTTTAATATGAAAAGGCCAAAGCAGACTAAAGTAACTGTATATCATATACAGGGGAAAGTAGTGAACACGAATAATCCTAGAGTTCAGATATCTTAAATATAATTTAATCTTGAGCAAGTCTGAAAGATGAGCATCCAGCAACCAGCCTCTGTTGTAAGATCTCTGGGGAAGGAGAACTTATGCTATGTGGCAGCCTGTTCCATTAGCTGACAGTTCATACAATCAAAAATTTCCTCCCAACATCTATCCTGAAACAGCTCCCTTGTGGCTTTAACACCTTCATCTGTGAGGGGCAATAAAAAATAAGTCTATGCCCTATTTCTGTGTGACCATTCTTCAGACACTTGAAGATGTTCTGGTATCTCTTCCTCAATCTCCTTTAAACATTCTTTGTAGGTTTGCTTTTCTGGCCCTTCACTATCTTGGTATCCGCTTGTTTCGCAGCCGCTTGTGACAACTTTGGCCTCTTCATCAACATGAAGAAAACTGAAGTGATGTACCAGCCAGTTCCAAAAGCTCAATATCAAGAGCCTACCATCACAGTAAAGGGACAAAAGCTGCAAGCAGTGGACCAATTTACGTATCTTGGTAGTACCCTCTCCCATGCAGTGACAATTGACAACGAGGTCAACTGTAGAATTGCCAAGGCAAGTTCTGCATTTGGCAGATTGCGGACTAACGTGTGGGACCACCATGGAATAAGCCTTGCTACTAAGCTTAAAGTTTACCAGGCAGCAGTGCTAACTACCCTAATATATGCTAGTGAGACGTGGACAGTGTACAGGAGGCACATTAGGCAACTGAACTACTTCCACATGACTTGCCTTTGTAGAATTCTGAGGATCCGGTGGCAGGATAAGATACCAGACACAGATGTCCTCTCCAGAGCAGGCTTATCATCAATTTACACTCTGTTGACAAAAGCCCAGATGTGCTGGGCAGGCCATGTTGTAAGGATGCCAGAACATCACATCCCTAAACATCTCTTCTATAGTGAGCTGTCTCAAGGAAAACGATTGCACGGGGGACAAAAGAAGCGATACAAAGACACGCTGAAAGCCTCTCTCAAGTCCCTGGATATTAAAACCATCTCTTGGGAACTTCTGGCGCATGTCGACTGACATGGCGCACCTTGGTGTACCAGGGTTGCCAGACATATGAACACAGAAGGACAATCTTGGCACAAGAGAAGTGAGCACGCCGCAAAGCCAGAGCTGTAAATGCTGAAGTAACAGTGTCTACATTTCTTTGTTCAGTATGTGGTAGAATGTTCCGTGCTAACATCAGTCTTATCAGCCACCTACGGACACATCGTTGATGGCCCATAATCTACAAGATGTCAAGGTCCTCATCAAAATCGATGGACGAACAACACATTCTTCCTTTGAACTTGTTCCCCTTGTCCTTTTTAAGGACCAGACATAGTACTCCAAGTTGGGTCTGACCAGGGCAAACTAAAATAGAACAATCATTTCCTGTGATTCAGACTTTATATTCTTATTAATATACCTAAGATAGCAATTGCCTTTTAAGCAGCTGCATTACACTGCTGGCTAATCTGTAAATTGCGGTCAGTAAGGACACCCAAATCCCTTTTAAATGTACTACTGTCAAGCCAGGTCTCCCCTACCACGTTAAGATAATATCAGGTATCTTCACTTAAGTACTATACTTTTTAAGAAGTATAAATGTTCTCTTCCTTTTATGCAAGATTTCCAGAACAGATCACATAAATAATGAACATTTTAAGCAGTAATTTCTTATGATAAAAAGCACTCGGCCTTAGATTTAAATATAACTATGTATACTTAAATGTCTTGGCTCTAGAAAGAGGTTACTGCCAGCAAACGTTTGCCTGAAGAATTCATTCTACAATAAGAGTCCTTTCCCCAGTCTCATCTTGAGGAATCAAGATAAAACAACATGTAAGTAATATTAAGTTGTCCAGAAGTTGCTTAGGCTTTTAAGGCAAAACCACCACTTCAATTTTTTTTTCCTAGATTCAGACTGATAACCAAAACAATTGTTTCAGGACTGATGTAATGCATAATATTCTGAAAGATAAAGTTATAAAGTTATTTTTGTCTACCTCATAGATAGCAGATATACTCACCAATCCCACAATGTTGTCTTTCAACTACTACTAATGCAAAATAAATTTACATACTGTAAGCTGTTTCCTCACCACCCTCTGAAAAACTGTTCTCACTTTCCCAATTTTCAAAATCAACCAAACTCACATTTCAATGAGTTAATGCTATGCTAGTGGGTATTTTGTTTTCTCACTGCAGAAACTGCCTGCAACATTTTATCCCTTGTACCATCTAGCTGGCATTTCATTTAGTTCAGCTCACTAACATGCTGTCATGGACTATGCTGTAGCATAAAAGCTCCCACATGCTCTCTTAATGTGTGCTAAGATACATCACTTCACAAAGTGGTGATGCACAGTTTGGAATCAAAAGATATATGCTAACAGTGTATATGCTTCACTTTCTGTGAAGAGAAGATTAAGAACCACAGAAAACAATTGATCAACTTGATGGAGAAAGGAGCACTTGTTGATTAGCACTCTCTTAGTTGGCAAATGGCTAACTAAGACTGAGCAATGACTGGTTGAAGGAAGTTTTCTGCAAACTCCAAACATACAAATTTGAGGCAGCATGCTACAAAAAATGAGTTCTGTAGACAATGAAGACAATGCAAAGTCACAAGTACACATTAAATTGCATTACAAATGAATAATTGAAAATCTTTATGGTGTGACAGATCATTTTGTATAATTCTAGAGATCCTTAGGTTAGCCTGCAAAATGTCAGTCATTTTGCTTCAAAAATAATATAGCTCTGAACGTAAATTGAAAACAATTATGAGAATTAATGTTTCCATGCTATTGGCTAATTCAAATTAGCAGGATTTTTCTAGCAACTTATTCAAATGGCCACACTCAAGCAATGATAAAATCTCTACTGTTACCTAGAATATTTTTTACAAAGGAAGAAAAGTATCCAGGTTAACAGAGGGGCTAGACAGTGGAGTATTATTCATACATATAACCAGGGAGAGATTACTTAAAATACTTATAACAAAAAACATTTTCTTAAAAAAAAACCCAGAAAAAATAGAAAAATGCTTCAAAAACTGAAAGACCTTAGTTTTTCTTAAATCCCTGTGTAAGGGATATCAAACAGTATGGGTGTCTCAAGGCCAAAGCACTCACAAAGGGGTACTGTCCCATTTGTCTCGGACATTGATTTCAACATCTCTCTGTTCAAGAAGGTATCTGAAAGATAAACAGACAATTTTAATAACTAAGAATGTATTCCAATTATTCACAGCTTCAGTTTTCTTTTTATTAAAAAAGTGTCCCAGCAACGGTGCCCCACCCAAATAAGTGAGATTCTGCCAAAAAATATTTTCTTCATATTACACTCATTCCATTTGTCTACCTAATGTAGATCAAATCCAACCTTCTAGTGTGTGTGTGTGTGTATCTGTGAAACAAATAACAAAAGTTCTTTAAGGTTACTTATCAATGATATTATTGATATGAACACAAATATTGTCCCTTTATATAGCATGAGAAAATAGAAGCATGCAACAAAGTGCAGTTTCCACTTTGTTTTCAGGTGCAATTCAATGTTATTACTTTTTAAATCCTTCATGGCTTGGAGCAGGGGTGTCAAACTGTCGGCCTGTGGGCTGGTTGCATCATGCAGAGGCTCTGCCCACCCCAGCTCCGGCAATGCAAAAAAAGTTGTGATCCGTCACAACATGTCATGTGATGTGGCAAGTTTGACACCTGTGGCTTGGAGTCTCATTATCATTAAGAGTGCTTACTCCACATGGAATCTGCCTGCAGGAACCACATGTTCAGAGTTCCCATTCATCAGGAATTAAGGTCGAAGGGACTAGAGACAAGCATTTTCTGCAGAGACTCTCCTATTAAGGAATTTCCTATTACCAAATATAGCATTGGTCCTTCATACCTGGAATTTAGGATATCAGCTCTATCAGAGAACATTTGGACTGGGAAATAAGGAATGCATATGCCAGAGGTGAATGGTAGTACAGTAAGGATATAATGCTATTCATCATTTTTTAAAATAGCATTCTATGATATAAATACTATATGTGT